GAGATGCTCATTGAGTTGTTTCCCCGCCCTTTCAGACTGCCAGCTGATGATTGGCTCACAGCAGCCCCAGCAACATCTAGCTGATTGGCTCCTCTGCGGGTATGCTCATTGGGCTGTTTCCCCGCCCTTTCAGACTACAGAGCTGCTCATTGGGGGACTTTTTGGCTCCGCCCACACGACCCAGCCAATCAGCCTCAAGAGTAGGAGGAGTGGGGGAGGTTGAGAGGCTTGTGGGAAGCAGGTGGTGGCAGTTGGGCTCTGAGGGTTTTTCCTGAGGAGCTGTTTTGTTTGGCGTGTGTGGTTCTAAAAATAAAGTTCGTTTCTTTTGACAAGTGGCTCCTGAATTGTGCCCAGCCAGACTGCGGCATGGTAAATGTCTGTATAAATAAAGTTTCTCAGTACTTCCTTAGAATAGTTTCCTCAAAGTGGCATAACTGGATCAATAGGTATAAACTTTGAAAAAATTCTTGCCAAATCACTTTGTGGACAAGTTATGCCTATTTTTTTTTTTTAACCAGGAAGATAAAATTACCTATTTTCCCACACCTCTGACAGCACTGATTTATCTTAAATCTTTGATTATTTGCTAACTTAAATTAATCTCACTGTATAAATTTGCATTCTCTTGGAAACTACTCAGGTTGAATACATTTTTTTCCATATCTCAACTAAATTCTTTTTTTATTAGGTTGAATACTTTTTAAAGAAATTTTTTAGTTGTAGATGGACGTGATACCTTTATTTTATTTATTTATTTTTATGTGGTGCTGTGGATTGAACCCAGTGCCTCACACATGCTAGGCAAGCACTCTGCCAATGAGCTACAACCCCAGCCCCTGAATACTTTCAATGTTATTAGATATTCTAAGAATTGTCTAGTAGGATTTAAAAGTTTAAAAAATATATCCATCTGTATTTTCTTCTTTTTAAAAGTATTTGTTAGTATTTAATTCTTCTTTGATGTATGGTAAGAGTGAAGATAAATTCTAAAAGTTTTTCTAATCTTTACCCAGTTCTTCCATTACCACGTGTTCAATGATTTTTATGCTTTATTTAATATATAATCAAAGTCTAGCCAGGCACAGTGGTGGCACACCTGTAATTCTAGCGACTCAGGAAGGAGGAGGCAGGAGGATTACAGATTAGAAGCCAACTTCAACAATTTAGTGAGGCCCTAAGCAACTTAGTGAGACCCTGTCTCAAAATGCAAAATTTTATTTATTTATTTATTTTTTTGAGAGAGAGAGAGAGAGAGAGAATTTTAATATTTATTTTTAGTTTTCAGCGGACACAACATCTTTATTTGTATGTGGTGTTGAGGATCAAACCCAGGCCACACGCATGCCAGGCGAGCATGCTACCGCTTGAGCCACATCCCCAGCTCAAAATGCAAAAATTTTAAAAAGGGGCTATGGATGTACTCAGTGGTAAAGTGACTCAATTTTTTTTTTTTTTTTGGTACTGGGTTCAATCCCTAGTACAAAATTTGTGTGTGTGTAGGTGTGTGTACAAATAATGTTTATATATATTTATATATGCCATATATTATATGTATTGTTTATTTTATATATAATTCTAAAAAGAATTTCCAAAACAGAGTAAAAATTTAAAAAAATAAGAAACAAAAATATATACAATAAAATTCTAACTATGTTGGGGTTTCTTTTTGACCTATTCTAGTTCATTTACCTATCTGTGATTTTGTTACCAGTACCACACTAACTCAATTAGCTCAATTTTATGGCTTTATAATATATGGCATATTAATATCTGGTAAAGCAAGATAATTTTTTATTTTTTTTAAAAAAACTTCATAGCTATCTACAACCTTCCCATCCTACCTATTTATTTACACACACACATATACACATATATTTTTAAAGAATTATTTTAAGAAAAATTTCACTGGGATACTGATTGAAATAGCATAGTTCTATACATTAATCAATGAATAAATTAATAGGCACAGCTTTCCATAACAATAGTCAGGCCTCATCCTTGAGCTACCACTTTGAAGGACAATGTAGAATGAGGATAAGAGCATGGACTGTGGCCCAGTGCCGCAGTCTGGCTGGGCACCAAATCACGAGCCACTCACAGCCTTGTAGATTCAAACAGCAATTCTTTATTCCCGAACTCACACTGGCACTCTACACAGGTTCTGGGGGAATTCACGTTCGGCCCCAATCACGTTCTGGGCAAAATCCCAAATACTCTCTGAATCCCACGAGAACTCAACGGGAACTCAAGGAGCGGGCGCGCCTGAGGCAGCAGGATACGCCCTATTCCCAGCAGGGTACACCTTAAACCTGGAACCGCCCTAAACCCAGATTGTCCTAAACCGGGAACACCCTAAACCCGGATCTGCCCTAAACCCGGATCCGCCCTGGTCCTTGAGCAAGGTCACCTTACATGCAATGACACTGCAAATGACCTGGGTCATGCCATGCGTCATTCTTACTTAGCAATGGCCCTCAGCAGCCCAGGAAAATCTCTGTGGACTTACTAACCTCTCTGTGCTTCAATTTTATCCTTTATATAATCATCCCTATCATTTTATTAGACAGAATCACTATGACAACTAGAAACTAACAATCAAATTTCAAAATATTTTACGCTGTCCACCCAAAAAAAAAATAGTTTTAAGAAAGAACATGAGGAAAAGGCAAGGGCAATATTATTGGCAATGTGGATCTCTCCAGCACCTAAACCCTAATCTCCAGGTATATTAGGCTAGATTTCCTTTTCAGCCTCCCCACACCCTCACACTTACACACTGATACGTGACAGGCACTTAGTACATATTTGATGAATAATTAAATGAACAAATTATGATGGTCCTCCTGGTTCTAACATTCCAGGACAGTAAGGCCAACAGCCATCCCCATATTCCTTTGAATGGCCAAAAATTGCAGATTCCTGGGGAGAACTCAATGTGAAGTGAGCCTTCTTGAGATATTACCACACTTCCCCACATACTAACGGAGGAGGGTGCACAATTAATGAATGAAGACCCTGGAGTCTTCTCTCAAAGATTCCTGTCTCACAAGCACCATTAAAATTATTCAATCCCTTCTTAGAGAAATAGCTTAATAAGACACTGGTGCTAAGATATTTGCACACGTTTACAGCAGCAGCATCATTCACAATAGCCAAAAGGTGGAAGCAAAGCAAGTATCCTCCAAAAGACAGAGAACAGATGTGGTATAAAATGATATATTAGGCATAAAAGGGAATGACTGACATGTGCCGCAACGTGGGTGAACCTTGAAGACATTCTACGTCAAAGAAGCCAGTAACGAAAGGAGAAATACTGTATGATTCCACTTATATGAGGTACCTAGAGTACTCAAATTCACAGAGGAAGAAAGTAGCACACTGGTGGCCAGGAGCTGTGGAGAGGGAGGAATGGGGAATTATTATTTAATGGTACAGAGTTTCGGTTTGGAAAGATAAAAAGATCTGGAAATGGATGGTAGTGATGGTTGTACAACAATGTGAAGTAATCAATGCCACTGAGCTGAGCATTTAAAATGTCAATCTACACCTAAAAAATAAATATTAAAAAAAGAGTTTAAAAAATGGCTAAATAGTAAATTTTGTGCTATGTGCAACAGTTTGCACATGACCCCCAAAATTCATATGTTGGGAATTTAATCCCCAGTGCAATAGTGTTAAGAGGCTAGACCTTTGGAAGGCTATTATATCACGTTCCAGGGGATTAATGTCACTACCATGGGAATGGGTTCCTTGTCTTGAGAGTGGGCTTGTTAAAGGAGTGTGGCTCTCTCTCGCTCTCCAAGCTCTTGCCTTTCTGCCTTCTGCTCTGAATGATGCAGTATTAAGGCCTGCACCAGATGCAGGCCCTTTGGTGTTGGATTTTCACTTCCCAGAAGTGTAAGAATGTCTCTTCTTAGGTATTCCATTATAGCAGCACAAAGTGGACTAAGACATTTATGCATGTTGCACTACAATTTTTTTTTAAGGTACTACTTTATCTTTCAGGAATTTGGGGTAGCTGGGAGGGGGGAGCTAGTCTTACAAAAAGGAGGCATAAGTTCACACTGCACCCATTTCACGAGCTGGTCACAGAAGATGACTCTAGTTGTGGGGTGGAAAGATATAACATGGGCTTAGACGTTCTGACACCCATCTAGGACTTCTCTGATTCTAGCATATCGGGCTCATGCTATCTGCTCCCATTAGACTCGTTCCTTAAATCTGAACTTCTAAGAAAGGAGCCCTCCTTTCTCCCAGAAGGTTCCCGCGTGTAAGACTGCGAACGACACCCGGCATCTCCTCAGCCCCCACCAACACGTCCACGACACAGGACGGGCCAAGGTCCACTCCTTGCCTCTCCTCTAGTCACAGCGGAGAGGGCCCTTCGAACGGTCATCCCAGACAACGGCAGCGGCTACGAAGACGCCCCAAGTCTCCTGTACTAGAGACTGAAAACGCCAGGGTTTAAATGGACGTCCCCCACCCCGGAGAAGAAACAGCGTTGGGTCCTTTTCTCCTGAACCCCGACACAGGTAGGATGTCTATAAAAGCCCCCGACACACTTGGGAACCCAGCAGCGCTGTTACCACCACCACCTCCACAGAGGTGACAGGAGGGAGGCGCAAGGCCTCCCGGAAGCACGACCCGGGGCACGGAACCCCGCGGTTCCCTCAGGCCGTGTCCCGCTCCCCGCGGAACACGGAGGCGGGACAGAGGAACGCGGGGGAAGCACAGCTGGGGACGATAAACTGGAAGGTGGGGGCGAATGAAAAGAGGTGAGTGGGGACCTACTAGTTTAAGTAAGTGTGTAGACGTATACAAAGAGACATGCGAGAAGCATCAGACTCCGCCAACACGGCCAAAGTCGTCGCCCCGACATGTGATTTGCCCAACTTGCGTGAAACCCCGCGAGAGCTCAGCCTCAACTCGCCCTCTTTCCTGTAGGCTAAAGACCCGCCCTGCGCCCGCCCCGCCCCAGGCCCCGCCCCCCAAGACCGCAGTATCCGCTTGTGTCAATAAAGTTGCGGCAGACAAGATGGCGGCTTCCATGCTGGGCTCGCTGTTACGGACGTTCCGGCAGGTCAGGCCCGCGCCGTTCTCACCTCCCTACCTCTCATTCCTGAGTGGCGTAACCTTCGGTCCCCACGACCCTACCACCGTAGCACCCCTCGAGGACCAGACCCAGGCTTCTCCCCACCACTTCCGCCTCCGGCTCTACTCGGGCAGGTTGGAGCGGATGGTGTGGAGACCCCGACCACACATAAGACACGGAAGGAGTGTGGGTCGAGGAAGAGAGAACCCAGGGCAGAGCGGTGGCGCGGAAGCCGCCGGTGACAGAATTCCCGGGAGCGGGGTGGGCGACCCTGCGGAGAGGTGCCCGGCCGCTTAGAAGAAGGGCTGAGAATTGACCGCGGAGGGTAGCAGTGTGGTGAGGCCGGAAACGTTCCCGAGAGAGTAGGAGGAAAGAAATTGGAGACTGAGTGTGGACGAGCCTTTAGGAGGAATTTTAGTGTAAAGGCAAGCAAAAGGTGTGTGTGAAAATGTGTCACTTTCCAACACGCATTATTGGCATCATGCTAATTATTACCACTGAGTGTATGTCCATAAAAGTTATTTATCTTTTAATTAGGAAATCTATTATTTTTAATTATTAAAATGATCCCAAACAACTTTTTAAAAATTGCTTCATAATAGGGACCGAAAGATTGCACTGGCAGAGCTGAGGCCTGACCGTCCTGACTCGTTCCTGGCCTGTCTTTTAGGTGGTTCCTTCATTAGCTTCACGCCAAGTCCGAAGTTACTATGTAGACTGGAGAATGTTGCGTGACGTGAAGAGACGAAAAATGGCCTATGAATATGCGGATGACAGGTTGCGGATCAATTCCCTCCGGAAGAATACCATTTTGCCCAAAGATCTTCAGGTTAGCTAATTGAGTCCCTTCCTACCCCAACATCATTAACTCACATCTGATAATTTTCTTCAAAAAATGTTTATTTTAATTTTTTTAGTTTTAGGTGGGCAAAATGTTTTATTTTTATGTGGTGCTGAGGATTGAACCCAGTTTCCCTGCATGCTAGGGGAGCACTCCACCACTGAGCCACAACCCCAGCCCTCACATCAGATGACTTTTGATACTGTTTGTTGTGACTTAGTTATCCATATCATTTCTGGAGAATAAAATCCAGTTGCCCAGATCAGCATAAACAGCCTTGAAACTTGGGTGAGTTTCCTAACTAGCCTTCATCCCACCCTTTTAGCAATCAAGGCATTAGGAAGTGTTGCTGGTGCATGGGGCCAAGTGCCTCAGGTGCTTGAACATGACCGGAACTGTTCTTGCTCAGGACCTGTCTTCCTGGACTCCCTTGCCCACCTCTGGGCTGAGGTGGTCTGCCATTTAGGCTTCTTTTCTTATCATCAAGTTGAATAAAATGGAATCAACCCTACTTGACCCTCTGAAGCATAAGGTCCTATGCCTAAGTACAACATAGAACACTTGTTTCAAAGAGCCTTGTGGGGGGGGGGGGGACCTTGTCAGGGAGTATAATTTAAACTCAAGGCCATTCACTTTACCAAAAGCTCATATTTATAAATAAATAAATAAATAAATAAAATTTACAGATTCTTTTAAGTTTTGTCTGGATTAAGCCAAATGAGCAGAAAACTGAATTTCCTGGACTGCTCAGTTATGGCTTTTACCATAATGGTTTTAAGCTGTCTGTACTTAGGAGTACTAAGAAGAGTCTCTTGAGACACTTAGCTGAAGACACTGTGATCACAGAAGCAGAGAGTAGTATGGTGGTTTCTTGGAGCTAGGAAGCCAGCGGTAAAGTTGGGGAGATGTTGGTCAAAGGGTTCAAACTCAGTTATAGAATGGAAATGTGCAGGGACACCAAAGCACAGCATGTGGCTACCATCAGTAATTCTGTACTGTATACTTGGAATTTGTCAAGAGGGTAGGCAAGTGTTCTTACCACATTCACACAAAAGGTAACTATGGGAGATGATGGTTATCTTTTATTAGATTGATTGTGGTAGTTTTCACACACACACACACACACATATAATTCGTGTTCTATACCTTAAATATACACATTTTAGTTGTGAATTACATGTCAGTAAAGCCAGAGGGAAATGTTGGGTGCATTATTTATGAAGACCTTCTGTCTGGTGTCAGTACCAGCAACAGCAGTGCAGAGAATCAATGTGGAAACTGCTGTTGCCAAGCAGCTCACAAACCAAATTATGACCCAGTTCCAGAAGCTTATAGGCTTTCAGTGTGCACTTTTTGTGTACTAAGGCATTTATCTTTTCTATGTTGACTTCCTTATTCCAAATGTTCTCACATGTAAACTGTCTTAAAACATTTTGGGAACAAGGGAAGTTATGCATAAATAACCAACTTATAGTCATTTGTGAAGATCTGCTCCATGACACTTTGTTTCAGCCTCCCAGCCCAGTCATTTCTCCTCTCCACTTCTTGCATAGCACTTAGTATCCACTACTTATTGACTCTGTCATGCTGTTTTGGAGCTAGGAGGCCAGGGGTAGGGTTGGAGAGATGTTGGTCAAAGGGTACAAACTCAGTTATAGGATGGAAATGTGCAGGGACACCAAGGCACAGTATGTGGCTATCATCAGTAATACTGTACTATGTGCTTGGAATTTGCCAGTGGGTAGGCAAATGTTCTATTCTCTACATATTTCATAATAGCAATACATGCATAAGCATGGTGATCAGGAACTATTCTTAATGCTTAATAGTTTGTTAATTTAGTGGCTTTCATATGCATTGATATCATTTAACTTGTGGGGTTTTTGTTTTTTTGGCACTGGGGATTAAACCCGGGGCACTTTACCATTGAACTACATCCCTAAGACTCTTTTTTTCTTTCTTTCTTTTTTTGAGACAGGGTCTTGCTTAGTTGCCCAGGCTGGACTGCTGCCTTAGGCTCTGTAGTAGTTGGGGTTATGGGTGTGTTACTACATCCAACACATTCTTTTTCCTTCTTGAACCCAGGTCCTCAGACGTGTTAGGCAAGTGCTCTAACACTGAACCACATCCCCAGACCTTGGTTTGTGAATTTTATGACTATGTTAAAGTTTCAAATTATAAACTACACTGGAAGGATGTCAGACATTTCTGGCAGCCTTCTGGTCTATGGGTTTCTACTCAGGTTAATGTTTACTACGTGTCCAGGGTTCTTTGGGAAGCTCTGGCAGACAAAGAACAGCCCTTTCTTTAAGCATAAATTTATTTATTTATTTATTTTTTAAGAGAGAGAGAGAGAGAGAATTTTTTAATATTTATTTTTTAGTTTTCGGTGGACACAGCATCTGTTTGTATGTGGTGCTGGGGATTCGAACCCGGGCCGCACGCACGCCAGGCGAGCGCGCAACCGCTTGAGCCACATCCGCAGCCCTAAGCATAAATTTAAACATCTAGAAAAAGTAAATGCATGTGATCTGTGTAGTAATGTTGTGATTTCCTTTAGGAAATGGCTGATAAAGAAATTGCAGCCCTTCCCCGGGATAGCTGTCCTGTTAGGATTAGGAATCGATGTGTTATGACATCTCGTCCACGTGGTGTAAAGCGACGCTGGAGGCTTAGTCGAATCGTCTTCCGACACTTAGCTGACCATGGGCAACTTTCTGGGGTCCAGCGAGCAATGTGGTAAAAATCAGCTCCAGAACCAACTGATCTTTCAGGGAAGACTTTTTTTGTGATGCTGTGGATCAAACCCAGAGCTTCCCACATGCCAGGCAAGTGCTCTGCTATTGAGCCACATCCCCAACCTGAGACCCTAGCTTATATAGGTGTCCAGTAGAATTGTCTCATCTACCCTGTGATACATATAGTTAAATTACTTTCAAATTTTAAGAAATTTGGCTATTTCCTTCTGTCATTAAATTCTCTAAAAGATTAAAAATACTGTTCATATACATGATGTAAAGAGTAGAGCAGGCAATAAAAAGTATTTTCTGTGAAAACAGGCTTTGTATGCTTCTTTTTTTTCTCTATGCTTTTCCTTTAAGAGTTATCTTTTAGTAACACATAAGGATTTCTACATTTTTTTTTTTTTTGAGTTTTACTTGGTAAAACAGTATTTATCTTGTAGATATAACCCAACCAACTGACAGACAATTTAATTCTGGGTTAGTTTCCCTGCCCTGCAGAGGCTGCCTTACTATTAGTTGTTAAACAATGGATTGGAAGTTAGAGGTGATGACCTGTATTACTGGCTAATAAGCAACTGCTTTGTGTTGACAACTGAACAGAAGAACCATCTGTTCTTATTACGTCTTTACTGTAAAATATGCCTCTTTAAACTTTGTTGGAATAATATATATTCCCTATATTCAGCAGGTTTTCTTGTGCAGTAACTAAACAGTGTGATTAGCCCAGTGATGAAAAATACGTTACTATGAAAGAACCTATTTACATACATGTGAAATACGTATATAAAATCTTCAGCTAGGTGCTTTGGTGTTTATAATCCCAGCTACCCAGGAAGCTACTTGGGAGAAGGATCCCTTAAACTAGGAATTTGAGGTCAGCTTGGGCAACAGTGAGGCACCATTAAAAAAAAAAAAAAACCATCAGCACAAGAGCCCTGTCATGGAGGATTTCACATTATGTGAAGGGGTTGACTTCATTTAACTACCAGGTACTAGAAAGTTTTAAGCAAAGGAATGACAGTTCATCTACAGATCTCTGATAGCTGTCCCTTAGATGGCCATTTCCTAAACACCAAACTAATACTTTGATCTTGGATTTCCCAGCCTCCAGACTGAGGAATTTTCAAGATTCTATTATTTACAAATTAATCTTAAAGCTTTGAAAGGTAAATCTGTAAGCAAGACAGCCAGTTACGAGGATGTCTTGATTGTTCAGGAATTGAGGGCCTGAACCAAGATAGTGGCATTAGCAAAAAGAGGACAGATTTGCAAAGTATTACTTAGGAAAGAAAATTAGGTAGGACTTAAGAAACTAATTATATTATTTAAGAGTGAAGATGGCTCTGAGTTCCTGGTAAGATAAATGGAAAGGGCAACTCCAAGACAGAATATAATGGAAAAAAGAACAGGTTTAGGAGAAAACAGATCTGAGAGTTCAGGTTTTAGTCATGCAATATTTGAGATACCTATCATCTTTGATGGAGAAGTCTAGTATACACTGGGTACCATAGTCTGGAACTCAGGGTAAGAATGAAAATTTGAGGGAATTGTGATATACCTTAGATTCATATTTTCTAATTTATGACAAATTACCAACTAGAATGCTCTAATACCTAAACTAGTAACTGACGTTAATTTCTCTGACCCCCAATTTTGTGTAAACAACCCAGTGGTTGCAGTTTAAGATTCCTTTGTGGTTATTTTTGCCTGATAGTCCATCTCACTCGCACTGGTATTCAATTTTATTCTGCTAACTTGATGTGTTATGGTTTGCATGTGCCCTTTCAAAATTCATGTTGACTTATCAATCCCTGGTGCAACAGTACAGAAATGAGGTGTTAGGAAGGTACCACCTTCATGAATGGGATTAACACTCATTTTGTATTTGTCCCTTTTGAGCAATTCAACCATGTGAGAATTCTTTAGAAAGCATCATCTTGGAAGTCAAAAGCCTTTACCAAACACCAAATGCAGAGCTAGTACTTTGATCTTGGATTTCCCAGCGTCCAGATGAAGAAATAAGTTTCTATTATTTACAAATTAATCTTAAGGCATTTTGTTACAGCAGCAGGAATGGAAAAGAGTTTGATTTACTTTCAAATTAGGGTTATTTTTACATTTTCAATTTTGTTTTAGATGGTTCTTAAAAATGAACAGTACATTTATTAAGTATTACTTTTATCTCCATCTCCTTTCTTCCCTGTTGGAAGCAATTTTTCATTAATTCTGAGTTTCTAAATGATTTTCTAAAATAGAAATAAGTATATTTACATTTCTAACCATTTCTTACAAAGGCAGTAGGACTACTTTGTTTTGTCCTTTGCTATTCTACTACTCGGACCTGGTGATTCTCTGTCACTACATAGAAATCATTTTTTTTTTTTTTGTGGCTGGAGGTCCTCTCCCTCATGTAGATGTAACCATACATAGCATTTAACTAGTCCCATTGTTAGATATTTGGGTGTTTCCAATCTTCTGTATAGATCATTCCAAATATTTGCCAGTTTATCTTTCCCAGAATTCTAAGCCAGAGGTAAAACACATTCCATTCCACGTGTCCTTATTTCTCTATAGCCTCAACACAATAGCACCAGTATGTTTATCTTCTGGAATTTTCCCCAGTGATAGATAAGAAACAAACAGTGTAGTTTCTTAATTTCTTTTCTGAACAAGACGAACATCTTTCTATATTTCAGGTCATTTACTTTTTTCCTATAAACTGTAATTGTTGAAAATTTTCAACATGTCATTTTTGGTTATGGTAGGTTTTTTCTTGCCATGTATTCTTTATGGATTTTCAAATTCTTTTTGGCTTAATGGTTATTACCTTTATATGCCATCTGATCCACAGCAGACCTAATTGCTCCTACAAAGATGCTTATCCTTGTTTTGATTTAGTTTCAATTTTAATTCTGTATTCGTAAACAAATGCATTTAAATCTACACAGAAGCATGTGACTGAGTGTATGGTAATGCATTGCTTAAGCTGGAAATAAGTAATCACTCTACAGCAACTTCCAAGGACATGTACAATTGAATTTTATGCAAAAATTCAGGTTTTACTCTTATTACATTGGTGGGAACTGATGTCACTAACTTACAGGCAAGCAAATACTTCTAGCTGAACAAAAATACATAATTTATAATTTTCATGAGGCAGGACTTGCTTTTTACATTTCAATGAAAATGCCATATAACTCTTTCTTGGGGGTACGGGGTGGGGGAATAACCAGGTACCAATGAAACCATCTTTGGAGTAAGTATTTAATAAGCACATTTTATTTAAATAAATCCTCCAGTAAAGGAGAATTTACTGCCTTTACTGTAAATAGTTATGTCAAATTTATATGTGCAGCTCTCCAACATTCCCTTATTGGAAACATCCATATTTCCACATCACAGTTCCCAAAAAAGATTTAAATGTCTCAAAATTCTGTATCTCCTTTGGCTTGCTTCTCTCTTGATTCCACCCAGGCTTTATTAATGGTTCGCTTCATATCATCATCTCCATCTTCATAAATTTTCTTTAGAACATTCATTAATCCCTCACTAGGATCTGTTTCGGTGTCGTATGAAGGCTTTCTATTAAAGAAGAACACATGTGATAATGAAATCAAAGCATGGAAAGACACAATTTCAGATTGATGCTGGTAGGAAATAAATGGGTGGAGATAAGAGGAAAATAGAGTATCAAAGTACCCTCGATCCAAATATACAAATTCATCTTAATGAACATATACACTAACCACACATGTACACATCATGTACCAAAGAGTGGTCATCAAAAACGGAGTTACTGTGGGGCACTGTAATTTCAAGTGATTTTTTTTAGCAGGCCAAATAATAAGGATTCGGCTTTTAATTTTTAAGAGTATATTTCTTTACGTTATGTTTTTAAAAAATACTCTGAGGAAAAACCCACAAGCATTAACATTATACAAAGATACATACCGAAGTGCCTACATTTTATTAGAAAAGCCCTTCTCTTAAGCCTGAGATACATGGATCTGGGCCCCAGTGGTGAGAGCATAGTCTTAATAAATATGGTCAGTACCTCCAGTTCAATGAAAGTCCAAATGTATTTAATTCATTAATTGCCAGATTCTGTATTGGGCACTGGAGATACACACAATAAGACAGGGTCCTATACTCGGATATTTCAGTCTGAATTTAAAATCAATTCCTCAGATAGTTTGGTATCCCTCACTCTAGCCAACCACAGCCCAAATGCATGTGGCTACCAAAGAAGTGAGAAACACAGACAGCCAACTCAACGCAGTCATGAAGGATAAAGAGATTCATCTTTTCCCCTAAACCAGTGGTAGTGAAACTAACTATATATCACAAATATCTGAAGAATTACTAACACACATACATGAATATCTGAGCCTTTCTGGAACTCCTGAAACAGAATTCCTAGGAATAGGCCCAGTATCTATAGATGTACCACCATGCTAAGACTGAGAGCCAGTACTAAAGAGCCAACTCTAACTACAAACACCTACAAAGCAACCTGTGGAACACATGACCTCTTCCAGTAGGCTGTGGCAGTTGAAAGCAGGTAAGACAATGGGGTTACTCAGTGGACATCAAAAACATAAATGGCCAAATCAGTCTCTACAGCTTCATTATCCATAAAAATCAAACAATAATCCCAACCAAGAAAATGATTAAAATATTTAAAAGAAATAAAAGTAGACTTACTCTTTTTCTTTGCATTCTTTTTCAACCTGAGTCAAGTACTCCCACCGTGTATTTTCTGCTTTCTTTCTACATAAGATGAGAACTGTATCGGTCTTTACCTAGAAGCGGGAAAAAATATAACTTATAAACACATGGAGATTAGTATATTTAGAAAACAGTTACTTGTTCAAGAGCCTATTATATGTGGGACTTATTCTAGATAAAGAGGGTGCTAATGGAGGATGTGAGCAGGAACCTGTGAAGGATTCTCTGGAGAGGAAACAAGATCTGGAGAAGGGCATTCTATGCAGTTGGCAAAGCCAACAGAATGGCCCCAAGATGAGATGATCCTGGTGTCTGAAGAAAGGGAGGAGGTGGCTGAATTTTAATGACTGAAAGAAAGAATGATATGAAGTATGTTGGGAGGGTGAGGAGGAAGAAGGAACCTCCAACTCCTTTCACAGTGATCAATATTAATTCCCAGAAGTCTCTGAATATTTCTTCAATTATAGGACTGGTGGATGAAGAGGGTTGCAGGGAGACACAAGCTAATAAATTCTCTTATAATATTCCTTAACACTGTAGAATGACTTGTCTACATACCTGATGCATTAAACCTCATTCATTCA